ACCTCGTCGCCCCAGTGGGTAACCACAATTGCTGCCTGTCCCTCTAAGACCACCGCCCTCAGTCAAATGGCTGTGAATCGACGTGCTGCGAATTCTTTTTCCGTCTCCGGAGTTCCTGGCGTGGACCAGGCTCGTGGGCCAAGGGACAAGAGGACCTCCCAGCACCGAGCAATTTTCCACATTTCCGCTTCCCTCCTCTTCTCCTTCTCCCTCTCCGCCTCAGTCGATTCGTTCGCAATCTCAACCTCGAATCCAAGCTCATCCTCCGCCACACGAATCTGACCCACCCTCTCACTCCCTCGAAATGGAACAAAACCCCCTCCAAAGCCTGTAACGAATGCCTCCTAAACCATTATGCCCGGATGACGACGCATTAGCGGGCGTACGCGAGCTGTTGGTGTACGTTTTTGTGCGTTGTATTATTGGAGAAGAGGGAGACGATGACATGGCCGGAGATAGGGAGGGCAGTCCCTGCGTATACGATTGCGGGCGGTCGCCCGTTGAGAGGGAGAGGCGTGTCGATTTTCCCTGAGCCTGTAATGGAGGGGGGTTGGTTAGGGCAGACGTGGATAGAAAGGAGGGAGCTGGATATAAATGTATGCGCGAAAATACGGCTACACGGACTCGGAGGGGAGAACGAAGTTGACGAAGAAATTGGCCTGAAGGCCGCAGAGGGAGCTGCAGCCAAGTCGTAGGCCGAGAGTGAGGGACGGATTCAACACATGCTTACTTTGGCAATGCAGAGTTGAACGAAGGAAATCCTTCATTACTACGCGAAGACCTCCTTCGCACAAGATTCAACAATACGTACTATGGCAATGCAGAGTTGAATGAAGGAAACACTTCACTACTACGCGAAGACCTCCTTCGCACAAGGTGTAGGCTTGTAGAGGCGCGAAATGGCGAGACAGAGCTGACTGACAAATGTGAGGTCGACGGATCTGTAGGAGCTCCAATTGCAATCGCACCTGGACGAGCTGCGGGGCTGGAACGTCATTACAAACGAATCGCCGCTTTACTCAGTGTGGAGATATTCCAAGCGACTGCTTGTTTACCCGACAAGAACTCTGGTGATAGGTCTGCCAAGG